TCTTGGGTTTTCTAGGTATAGGATCATATCATGAGCAAATAGGGATAGTTTGACTTCTTCCTTACCAATTTGGATGCCTTTGATTTCCCTTTCTTGCCTTAATGCCCTGGTTAGGACTTCCAGTCCAGTGTTGAATAGAAGTGGTGATAGTGGGCATCCTTGTCCGGTTCCTGTTCTCAAGAAGAATCTAAACCTGCTCTTGTATATGATTTTCTTTGACTTCCCCTGAAACTTGGCTGTCTCTCTTTTTTTTAAGAATAAGTTACTTGTATGTATATATGTATGTAGCTCTGGTAGCATAGTGCCTAAGGCATTTGACTACTAATCAGAAGGCTTGTGGTTCAAACCTACCAGCCACTCCTTGGAAGATTGGGCAATCTACTTCCATAGTAATACTGCCTTGGAAACCCAGGGAGGGATCACTATGAGTTGGGTCTGACTCCATGGCAGTGAGTTAGTTTTGCTTTGTTTTTTTATGTGTATATTTATGTGTACATACACATACACACCTTGGGATCTTTGTGTATATATTTTAATTGCCATAGCTTTTGTACTATTGATGTTAAATAATAACTTTTGCAGATTTCAAAAACCTGTTTTTCTAACCATAACGAAAGTCTGAAGAGCATTGGCCAGTTTCTCCCTTCTGTGCCAGACAACGAAAATGCAAATCCAGGAGAAGCGATGAGTCATGGTAAGGCTCTGAGTTTAGTTTTAATAGATATCACTGAAGGATTGCGCCTCTGTTCTTAGAGAGAAGACAGTGTGCTTCTCCTCTCTTCATTACTGAATTAGGGTTTTATCTCAAGTCATTGAGGGTAGAATCTAACTTGATGAAAATGTTTAAACATCATGCTAAGTTAATACTATACAAGATGCTACTGTGAGAGAACAACAAAATCCGTTACTTGAATAAACAACGTGGAAACACCTTATTTTCTAATTAGGAAGTAAGTGTGAGTGTGGGTAGACCAAATTTCTTATTAGCCAGGTCATGAGAATGCTGCAGTTTTCTTGGTATGTGTCTATGTCTGCAAAATGCACAGGATCGGGCATCTGTAGATGGTGTGTGTCTGTGCTGTCATATATAGATATATACACACATGCATTTATTTCTCTCTGTGTTTGTAAAATTAGATTTTACTCTCAGTTGTTGAGGGCCACAAAATTGATTTGAAGCATCTGGTTTGACAGGTCTTAGGATATTAAATTGCATATGTAATATGGTGAGTTGAGTTTTAACTTTGTAGAACTGAAAAGCAAAGGATATTAGGGATTGGCATGTGAATAAAGGACTTAGGATACTCTAGAATCAGCCTTTACCAAAAGACCATGGGACGGGTGATTAGCCAAAGAAAGGATAGCTCTTTACATACAAGTTAGCATGTACTTTACAATACAAGAAAGGTTGTGAGAATAGTATAAATTTTATGGCTGTGCTTTAGAATTTTTTTTTTTTTTACTGTGCTTCTGTTTTAAATTTTAACAGAATTGGGGAAAACGCTAGGGAATTTATGTGATGACGTGAATAACTGTGAAGACCGTTTTGGAATGTCATTGCCAAATGTTGTAGAAGAACAAGTACATGAAAGAGGAACAAATGTTTCTGAAGAAGATAGTTTTTCATTCTGTATTACTAGACATAAAACAGGAAATATACAAAAAAGAAAAACTGGCAAGACTAGGGAAGCACCTTTCAGTGAAACAGAAGCTGGTGAATGTGAAGAAGCTCTGAAACAACTGGAAGGAAAGGAGCGTTTATTTGTATTTGACTCAAATGCACCAGATCAGGAACCCACTGGGACTGATAGTGACATCATCTCCAAGGAGGTGGCAGCACCTTCACCCTCCGAGTGCTCTCAGCTGACCCCCTCAGGCCTCAATGGAACACACATGGAGAAGATAACCTTGCAGCCTCTTTCTTCTTGTGACCAAAATAATTCAGGAAAAGATCTGGTAGACACAGAGGAAGGAGGTACCATCTTTATCACTTCAGAAAATTCTTCACCACGTCTTTCAAGTCTACCGAAGACGGAGAAGATGCTGCAGGAGGAAGTGGTGGTAAAGAAGGGCGATGAAGGGCAGTGTCCAGTGCCTCATGAAGATGCTGTTCTCACAGTGAAGCAGACAATGTCTCCAACTTCTCCAATGGCTTCTCTGCTTCAGGGAACCAAAAAGGCTATTTTCAGGATCAGAGAATCCCCTGAAGAGACTTGTGGGGCCATTTTCTCAGCCCATCGGACTCATCCAAACTCTAAAGAAAAGTCTGAAGCCTGCGAGAGTGAGCTGGCACGAGATGCTCGCTGCTCCCAGACAGGGGGCCCTTCCTGCTTAGGTCCTAGTGGAAGCGGCCCAACCACCCCCACACATAATGGTGTGACTTTGAAGACTGCAAGTTTCATATCCACTCTGAAAAAGAAAACAAGAAAGTTTATTTATTCTATAAGTGATGAAGCATCTTTCCCAGGAAGAAAAATGGAGAGGGATCAAGAATCTGGACCAAGTAACTGCCCAGCCCAGTTCAAAGCACCCCTGACAGCTGCAGCTGCCGACCCAGGTGCCTCTTCACTGCAGATACTGCATATCATTAACATGTTCTCTTCTCTGAACACGTGAACTTCTTTTCTTTCATCTTTTTTTTTTTTTTTTAAGCATACACCCAGCTCTCCTTTTATAGTTATTTTTGTTTTTGTTTTTAATCTGCCTGCCTTGTAGTCAGTCTCAGGCTCAGGTACTATCTACATATATTTTTTATTTAGGCCTTTAATTAACAATGTCCAAAATCAATTCATTCACACCTGTTGGGTCAATTTACTCAGATGCAACTGTCACTCTTGAGACACAGCATGAGCTTCATAAACATCAAAGGCTTGGCTACTAAATTCCTGCTTTAATTTTTTTTTTAACTTGTGGTAAAATATACTGTGTTTTTATGCAAATAACATGCACTGTCTACTTTGTTTGCTAACCTATCCCTTCCTCTCCGGAGGTATGCTAATTTTCCCACACCAATGTGTGAAAAAGCACTAGCATAGAGTCTTACAAAAATTCTTACATGGGGGGAACGATTGGCAAACGTAGAACGTACGTATTATTTGCATAAAAATATAGATGAGTCAAAAATTTGCCATTTTAACCATTTTCTGCTTTAATTTAAAAAGTGCTTGTAACTATTTGGTAGCAAACTAACTCAAAACTCACTGCCATCGAGTTTGACCCGACTCATAGCGACCCCTCCTTGGGTTTCTGAGGCAGTATCACTATGGAAGTAGATTGCTCCATCTTCCTTCTGAGGAGTGGCTGGTGGGTTTGAACCGCTAGCCTTCTGGTTAGCAGTCAAATGCCTTAGGCACTATGCTACCAGAGCTCCTGGACAACTCTAAAAATCATTGTGTTACATACTATGTTTTTTCTCTGAAGCATGTTAACAGTGGGGGAAAGGTAACTGGTAGCTAAATTTAATATACCAAAACGAAACCAAACTAAGTGCTATTGAGTCGATTCTGACTCATAGCAATCCCCATAGGGTTTCCAAGGCTGGAAATCTTTATGGAAGAATCTTTATGTAAATCTTTATGCCTGATCTTTTCTTCTGTGGAGTGGCTGGTTGGGTTCAAACCACTGAGCTTTTAGTTAGCAGCCAAATGCCTTAACCACTGCACCACTAGAGCTCCTTAATTTAATATAAGCCAGTATAAAAAATAAAGTAGCAATTTTTTGTTGCATAGTTTTCTTAAATATTTGGTAATTGCTTAAAGTTAGAGCTGTATCTGTGGGTGTCCAGACTGTGCACAGTGAAACTCAGTGTTTATTTTGGCAACTGTTTACTCGTCAACGTGGTGCAACGGTTAAGTGCTTCACTGCCAAGTGAAACATCAGTGGTTTGAACCCACCAGCCAGCCCTTGGGAGAATGATCTGGGGCAATTTTACTCTTGTCACATGGAGGTGCTACTAGTCTAAATTGATTCCCTGGCACCCGATAACAATCCTGTGCTTTTCAGTAGCTACACTGTATTTTTATTATTATTATTATTATTTTTTAAAGATTTTATCTCCCTCCTAGAAAGTTTTAGTAAGTGGTAATGGCATGGTGGGACTGGAGTAGAGAGAAGCTGTTTTAGGTTTGGATTAATTTCCAGAGAAAAATGTTCGCTGCTTTAAATAGGAAAAGGAGCTGGTGGTTCGAGCCCACCAGCTGCTCTGTGGAAGAAAGACGGGGCAATCTGCTTCTGCAAAGATTTACAGCCTTGGAAACCCAATGTGTATGGCTGTCATTTGGAATCGACTTGATGGCAGTGAGCTTGGTTTAGTTTTGGTTTTAGATATCAGAGTTAAAACCAATGAAGTGACTTTAACTGATTAGAAATTTTGAATTGTTAGTAGAAAATTCAGAGGCTTGAGAAAATTAACTTACCAGAGCAATGTACTTATTTGGCTTCCTAACTGAGGTTAGATAACTTTCAGGCCTTTATGGAGAGCCTGCTTTTAAAAATTTTCTTCTTTTTAATATGAAACCAGGGTTAACTAAAGGCAACAGTATATCTCTAAATCCTTTTTTCTGCCTCACTTTTGGCATAGTGCCTAAGGCATTTGACTACTAACCAGAAGGCTGGCAGTTCAAACCCACAAGCCACTCCTCAGAAGGAAGGTTGGGCAATCTACTTCCGTAGTGATACCGCCTTGGAAAACCAAGGAAGGGTTGCTATGAGTCAGATCCAATTCGACGGCAGTGACTTTGGTTTTTTTTGGTTTATTACTTTATGATATTATTTTCCAATAAAAATCACTTGTAATTTTATGTATAGTAGCTAGTTGCTTCCTTGAACCGTATACTAATTTAGATGGAATTTATACACATTATACCCCCAAAAAAACCAGCTTGTAGAATTCTTTCTGTTTAGGGCAGTGACATTCACTTACTGCTTTTTATGTAAGTTTTGTCTATACATAACCTTCTTAACTTAGTTGAAAATACTTAGTGAACGTGATTGATGACACCTACCTTTCATTTTGTCACTTTCTGTCTTTATGCTTAGGTTTATTGCATTCTCCTGTCAAAAGAAGCAGTATACAGAATAACACTGAAGAACCAACTCTGTCCCTAACCAGCTCATTTGGGACAATTCTGAGAACAAGTTCAAAGAATGAAGGCAATTCTAATAATAAAGTAATATCTCAGGATCTTAATTACAAAGAAAAAGAAATAAATACAGAAGAACTGAAGTCATTTATAACCACAGAAACTGACTTTTTGATGGCCCAACAGGAAAGGTACGGTGAAGATCATCCAAAAATCCAAAGAGTTTCAGGTATCAGAGCAAAGGTCTTAGCTGCAACATGGCACCCTGCAGTGCAACAGTCAGTAGTAGGATACAGTGCCCACTTTCAGTCCCAGGAAAGCATTTTACATGACCATGATAATGCCTGCACTCTGATTTTAACTCCTGGCTCCGAGGATCCTCTACAAAACCCAGTTGTGATTTCTAAAGAAAAAGATTCGTGTGACATGTCAGAGGAACTAAAACGTGAGAATTGTGAAGCCACTTTTGAATTCACTAAAAATACTCCCATGGGAAAAAAACAAGAAATAAGTGTCTTAAATGAAAATTTTCAAAAAGCTGAGCTTTCACCACCTGAAAAGTACATGAAGGTAGCATCACCTTCTATGAAGGTGCAATTTAACCAAAATACAAATGTCACAGTAGTCCAGAGAGACCAAGAAGCAACTGCTTTAATTCCAGAAATGACCATCGTTCCAAACTCCGAAGAACTTTACCCAGAGAACAAGGATAATTGTGTCTTTCAGATGATGAATACACAGAATGTGGTCATCATAGATGATAGTGAGGGACATCATGAGGCAAGTTTCAGTTGTGTCAAAGAGCCCACTCTCAGGAGCTCTACCTGGGCAGGGTGTTCAGGCATAGGTGACAAACAAGCAGCCCAAGTACTGACTTTAAAGGCTTTTGACTCATCAAATGTCCATGATCCTACAGAGGAGGAGAGAAATAGTGAAAAGGAACATCTAAAAAAAGTGACTCTAAGTCAGGGTTTAAAATCAGACATCTCCTTAGAGAACAATGTGAAATCAAGCAAGAAGAATGATTATGGGGAAAGACGTACAGGACTCTCAGATCCAATTTCAAATTACGGTTTTGGAGGTGTTTTCAGAACAGCTTCCAATAAAGAGATAAAACTCTCGGAACACAGCATTGAGAAAAGCAAAGTGCTCTTCCAAGATATTGAAGAACAGTGTCCTAAAGGCTTAGCTTGTATTGAAATTGTAAATGCTGTACCGTTAGATAATCAAAAGAAACTAAACAGACGTCATGCACTTGATTTACAAGCAATTAATTCTGTATCGGGAGATGTGCTGAGTAGTGCATTTGTGCCTGACAGTGACATCGATCACACAGCTCCTCAGATTTCATTTTTAAAGCAGGATTTCAATTCAAACTATAATTTAACACCTAGCCAGAAGGCAGAAATTACAGAACTCTCTACTATATTGGAAGAATCAGGAAGTCAGTTTGAATTTACACAATTCAGAAAACCAAGGCACGTAATAGAGACTAAAACATTTGCAAGATGTGAAAACCAAATGACAGTCTTGAATAACGCTTCTGAGAATTGGAAAGATGTTGGTCTTGGCATCACAACTAATATCCCACCCATCAGTCGGGTAGACAACAGCAAGATGTTGGATGGTGCTGTCGGAAATACACCAAAGACTGCTTGCTTGCTGAAAAATCACCGTGACAAAAGTACTTCTGGCTGTTTAACCCAGAAAATGGAAATGGAATTTACGAGCTTTTGTTCTGCTCTTGGCACAAAAATCAACGTTTCTGGTGAAGCCCTGCAAAGAGCTCTGAGACTGTTCAGTGACATTGAAGATTTTAGTGAGGACATTTCTGCAGAAGAAGGTCTCAGAAGCTTCTCTTCAAGTCAGTGTGCTTCTTTTGTTTGTGGGTCTAAGATAAAAAATCTTAATGATAAAAATTATGGTGAAAAACATGATAAATGCCAACTTATATTACAAAATAATATTGACATGACTGCTGACATTTTTATTGAAGGAAATACTGGAAATTGCAAGAGAAACATAGACAGTGAAAAAAACAAATGCACTGGTGCCAGTAGAAAGACTTGTGACTTAGGAGAATCTGGTGACAATGATTCAAGTAAAAGTGATACCATTTATATTCATAAAGATGAAAATGACTTGCCACGAGTTATTGATGACCACATGTGTCTGCCACCAGAGCTCCTAAAAATATCTAACCAGTGTGTGAAGGAGGGAAACAATGAAATTAAAGAAGGTTTGTCAGATTTAACTTGTTTGGAAGTTGTGAAAGCTGAAGAAACATTTCATGTTGATACTTCAAATAAAGAACAATCAACTTCTAATAAAATTGAGCAAAATGTAAAAGATTATGATGTATGTGTTGTACCATTTCAGACTGCAAGTGGGAAAAATATCAGTGTCTCCAAAGGGTCATTAAGTAAAGTTGTAAATTTATTTGATACAAAGTATGCAGAGGAAGAATTGAATAACTTCTCAGACTCTTTGAACTCTGACTTGCCTTCGGACATAAAAAAGGACAAAATGGACAATTCAGGTTATGAGGAAAGAGACATGATTCAAAACAAACTATGGGAAAGATCTCACCCAGTTGGTACCGAAAATAAATTACTGACTATCTGCCAACAACCCACATGTGAAATTGAAAAGATCAGAGAACCCACCATGTTGGGTTTTCATACAGCTAGTGGAAAAAAAGTGAAAATTGCAAAGGAATCTTTGGACAGAGTGAAAAATCTCTTTGATGAAAAAATGCAGGATACTCCTAGTGAAATCTCCAGTGTTGGACATCAAGGGGCACAGAGTCTAAAGGAGAAAGAGGAATGTAAAGAAGGGTTTGAATTAGCACATGACACATTCAAGACAGCCACCATCTCAAAGTCTGAAGAAATGGAGGAATCTCTAGATGGTAATGAGAGAGACCTTATTTTTAATGAGACCACAGGGCTCTTAAGTGATTCAGACAGACACACTGAAAATCTCAAAACATCAAATAGTATTTCTTTGAAATTTGAAGTAGACGAAAAAGGAGAAAGAGAACCAGCAAAAAGTCCTACAACTTGCTACACAGACCATTCAGCCAACAAAAATCCAGCTTTAGTGTTTTACACAGGGCATGGGAGGAAAATTTCTGTGAGTCCGACATCACTATTTGAAGCAAAAAAATGGCTTCAAGAAGGCGAATTGGAAAATCAACCAGGAAAAATGAATGCTGCCAAGGTTATTTGTTTAAAAGAAGACCCTCGGGATTGTGTAGGAAATCCTTCATATGGAAACAGTTCAAATAGTAGCATAACAGAAAATGACAAAAATAATCTGTCAGAAAAACAAGGTTCAGGTTACTCAAGTAACAGCTGTTCATACAATTCTTATTTTTGTCATCCCAATGAGGTACATAATAAGTCAGCATCTCGCTCAAAAAAACAAATCGACAATTCTCGTACTGAGCCAGTGGTGAAGAATGTCAGAGAAAGAAAAAACATTAGTGTTTCCAAAGTAACATCAACCATAAGAAAAGCAAACACACACCCACAAACTGTAAATGAAGATACTTGTGTTCAGAAACTTGTGACTGATACTTCATGCAAAAGCAAAAATGCAGCCATTGAATTCCCTATGTCTGATTCAAACAATTTGGAGGTCGGACCACCTGTATTCAGCACAGCAAGTGGTAAAATAGTCTCTGTTTCACAGGAGACGATAAAAAGAGTAAGAGAGAAATTTGTAGACAACTGTAGTGAGATCATCAAACAAACGACTGAGAGTAAAACAGACACTTACAAAACGAAAATTGTGCCAGGTTGCCATGAAGCACTAGATAATTCAGAAGAAAATATTTTTCCTAATTCTTTAGATGGTGAAGAATGCAATATGCATTCACATAAGGTTTCTGATGACATTCAAAGTGAACACATTTTACAACATAACCAAAGTACGTCTGCGTTGGATAAAGTTTCTGAAACAGCACCTTGTCAGGTTGATACGAAAAATTCTGATATATGGAAATTTAACATGCAGACACTTCCCAAGTCACTCTCGTCTACACATGCATGTGGAATTTTCAACACAGCAAGTGGAAAACCTGTACAGGTGACAGATGCTTCATTACAGAAGGCAAGACATGTGCTTTCTGAGATAGGAGATAGTGCCAAGCATCTCATTTCCGAAGTGTCTGTCAACAGTGATGAAGAACATTCAAACAAGGTCACAAGAGACAAAAACACTATGATACATACTAAAAAAGAATTGCCACCACTCCAGGAATGCTTTACATCTAATGTAATTTCATGTGCCTCCTCTGGATTTAGTACAGCAAGTGGAAAACAGGTCTTAATTTCTGAAAGTGCCTTACACAAAGTTAAGGGGATGTTGGAAGAATTTGATCTAATCAAAACTGAAATTAATCCTCAGTCACCTCCATTTAGACAAGATGTATCAAAAACACTTGCTATTCCTGGTGTTGATAAGAGAATCCCGAAGCACTCTGTAAACTCCAAAATGGAAAAATGGTACAATGAGGAATATCAATTATCAAATAACTGTAATATTGAAAGTGTTTCTTCAGAAAACTTTCCACCCATCAGTGTTTCTCCACATGCCTCTCAGTATAAGCAAGATAAACAACAGTCGGCATTAGGAACAAAAGTATCACCTGTTGAGAACATTCATCTTGTGGGAAAAGAACAGGCTTTGCCTAGAAATGTGAAAATGAAAACTGGTCAAATCCATACTTTCTCGAATCTTCCTGTGAAAACAAATACAGCCGTTTGTTCGACTTACTCCAAGGATCCAGAAAATTGTTTTGAAACGGAAGCGGTAGAGATTGCCAGAGCTTTTATGGAGGACGGAGAGCTGACAGACTCTAACCCCCCAAGTCACACCAGACATTCTCAATTCACCCGCTCGAAAATTTGCCTGGAGTCAAATTTGAGAACTGGCAAAAGAAGAAATGCAGTTGTCTCAGCTGGTAAGTTTTTTTTTTTCTTTCCCCCTTTAGGTATGCACATTAAAAACTGAAGACCTGAGTGGTCCTGGCATGCTAGCTTGTGGTGTAGGAACAAAGGCCTGGTGATCTACTTCCACAGTTTAGCCAATGAGAACCCACCGGATCACAATCCGATGAGGCACCGGAAGATGAACCGCCTGGGTTGGGAGGCACTCACAATGCGTAGTGGTTGGCGGGTCAGCCCCAACTCTGGGTGACCCTAAGTACCACCGAAGGAAACGTTACTCAGTGCTGGGCCAGCTTCATAATTATTAGTGTTGAAGTCCATTGTTGTGTCATTGTTAATCTATCTCTCTGACAAATTCCTTCTTTTCGTTGGCTCTCTTCTGTACCAAATGTGATGTCCTTTTCTGGAGATTGGTCTTTCCTGATGGTGAGTCAGACTTAACCATCCTTGCTTCTAGGAAACATTCAGCTTAAGAAAACCTTAAACTGTCTCCTGCTACAAAGTTACAGGCTCATAGAATATTTGAGCTGTCACAAGGCTCTTGGCCAGTCCCTTCCTAATTCTGAGAAGGAGACTGAAGCCAGTCAGGTCATTGCTTCACTTGGTGCTTTTTGCCCTTACATTATCCTGATAGATAGGAGCTCTGGTGGCGTAGTGCCTAAGGCACCCACCAGACACTCCTCACAAGGAAGATGGGGCAAACTACTTCCGTAGTGATACCACCTCGGAAACCCAAGGAGGGGTCACTATGAGTTGGATCCAACTCAACGACTGTGAGTGTGGTTTTGGTTTATCCTCATAGATACAGTTTTGCTTACTTACATACTATCCAGGTCAGAGAACAAACCTGCCTTGGAAGAAGTAAAACCAGAATGTGCCTTAGAATGAGACTGGCCAGACTTTGGCTCACATACTCTGGACATGTTACAGGAAGGACTATTCCTGGAGAAGGACATTGTGCTTGGTAAAGTAGAGGGTCAGTAAAAAAGAGGAAGATCCACAACAAGATGGATTGACACAGTGGCTACAACAATGACCTGAAACTTAGCAACGATTGGGAGAATGGTACAGGACCAGGCAGCGTTTTGTTCTGTTGTACATGGGGTCGCTATAAGTCAAAACTGACTTGACGGTACCTAACAACAACGTGCAGGTCACATGTACCTAGTTTCCTTTATGGGCCAAGTAGTAAATTTATAATAACCCAAACCCACTGCCAATGAGTTGATTCCAACTCATCATGACCCTACAGGGCAGCGTAGAAGTGCCCCGTAGGGTTTTCAGAGCTGTCAAACTGTATAGAAGCAGACTGCCTCATCTTTCTGCTGCGGAGCAGCTGTTGGGTTTGAATCTGTCCTCCTACTCACTGATTTGAATTCAAGGGCCTATGTAATAAGTTCCTCCTTGAATTTAATACCACTCCCTGAAAAATGATTCTTGGAAGAAATTTTGTTTTTCTTTATTGCTAGTAAACCTACAGCTACACTTAGTTTATTTAAAAGTAGCTTACCTGTCATGTCTGGTAACATCTATTTATCTCTTGGAAAAAAGAAAACAAAACCAGCTGCCATTCAATTGATCCTGACTCGTGGTGACCCCACGTGTGTCAGAGGAGCACTGTGCTCTGTGGGGTTTGCAGTGGCTGCTTTGTGGAAATAGATCACCAGGTCTTTCTTCTGAGGAGTCTTCACTGGACTCGAATCACCAGTCTTTAGGGAGCAGCCAAGCAGTAACCATTTGAGCCTCCCAGGGACTTCTGTTTATCTTTAGCTCCTACTGGATCAAACAAACAAACTCACTGCCATCGAGTTGGACCCGACTCATGGTGACCCCTTCTTGGGTTTCTGAGGCAGTATCTCTACGGAAGTACATTGCCCAACCTTCCAAGGAGTGGCTGGTGGGTTTGAACCGCCAGGCTTCTGGTTAGCAGTCAAATGCCTTAGGCCCTACGTCACCAGAGCTCCCTCCTACTGGGTAGACCCTATCAAATATTGAAATGGTCAAAAACTAATGGAAACAAAATTGATACTTAAAAATGAATTTTCTCTTCCAAATTAAAAGGGTCACTTGTTCAAGTATAATTATGTAATTTTCACTTAACCTAAGAGGCAGTCCTTTAATTTTTAAAAATGAACTCTAATCCCTGTTGGCACAAATGGTTAAGTGCTCAACTACTAGCTGAAATGTTGTTGGTTCAGACTCACGCAAAGGCATTTTGGAAGACAGCCCTGCCATGGGTTTAAGCTACATAAACAAAGAGCCCTAGGAGCTCTGGTGGCGTAGTCTCTATGGCATTTGACTGCTAACCAGAAGGCTGGAGGTTCAAACCCACCAGCCACTCTTCAGAAGGAAGACTGGGCAATTTACTTCTGTAGAGATACCACCTTGGAAACCTAAGGAAGGGTCACTATGAATTGGATCCGATTGGATGGCAGTGAGTTTGGGTTTTTTTTGGAAACAGAGCTCTGGTGGCGCAGTGGTTAAGGACTCAGCTGCTAACCCAAAGGTTGGTGGTTCGAACTCCCCAGCTGTTCGGTGGGAGAAAGATGCAACAGGTCCTATCCTAGAAAACCGTATGGGGTGGCTGTACTCTGCACACACGGGGTCGTCGTGAGCGGGAATCAGCTCAGCGGTAAGGTAGCAACAGCAACAGACGTGTGAAAAATAAAGTTGGTATTATTTGCTCCAAACATTTATGGAAACTTCTTTTTAGGAGAACCGCCAATCAAAAGAAACTTGTTAAGTGAATTTGACAGGATAGCGAAAAATCAAGAAAAATCCTTGCATGCCTCTAAAAGCACCCCAGATGGTAAGGCTTTTATGCTCTCTCTCCCCCTGTACAGGTAACAAACGTACTGTTTGTGAAGTTATCTTCCTCGGGGTTTTTTTTTTTTTAATATGTGTGTAATTGGAACATATCTGACAGTATAGTTAATTCAACTACACTTGCCTCTTGCCTTGTTTCTGTAGTGAACTTTTCCTTCATAATGCCTAGTAGTATTTAGAGGTTTTCCGTAAGTGGGAAGTGTGAAATGATTATAGAATAATGACATTTTTGCATTTGTTATTTTAAAAGCCATAAGAACTTAGTGAAAACTTAATGAAAGCTCAGGTTCTGGAATCCAGTCAGATTTTTGACCCTCTCCGTGTGCCCGAATTGCTATTTCCCCAGTAGGTTTGTGGTGCCAAGCCCAATGGGCATTTCTCAGCCTTCATTGGATTCATCTCTGAGCAGTGTTTGCTCCCTGTCCTCCAGACCCCACCTTCTCTGATCCTCTTCCTGTGTCACTGGTTGCTGTGGGATAATTGTATTAAACTGTTGAGGCTTACATACAACAGGATAAATCCCACAGGGAATCAAGACCACTTTGAATTCTCCTGCTCATTTCCCATTTAGTGATAGAGCTTTGAAAGTTATCTTTAAGCCAGGATGGTCGGTAGGTGGCATGGAGTTCATGTTCATGGTGGCGGACTAGGGGGCATGGAGTTCATGTTCACGGTGGCATACTGGGGGCACGGAGTTCATGTTCACGGTGGCAGACTAGGAGGCATGGAGTTGATGTTCATGGTGGCAGACTAGGGGGCATGGAGTTCATGTTCGTGCTGGTGGACTAGGGCATGGAATTCAAGTTCATGGTGGCGGACTAGGGCATGGAGTTCATGTTCATGCTGGCGACTAGGGGCCATGGAGTTCACGTTCATGGTAGTGGACTGTTTCGGAGAAGCATATGATAATGGTAGCACAGCATGAAAAATGCACTCAGTGTCATCAAATCCTAAATGTGTGAGTTGTATTGTTTTGGTATGTGTCACTTCACCACAATTTAAAAAAGACCACCTGTGTTGAATGGTCAGAGTCTGTTTTCCTTCTCTTTCTTCTGACTTCTTGTTATGTGCCATCGAGTCGGACTCGACTCATAGCGACCCCTCCTTGGGTTTCCGAGGTGGTATCCCTACAGAAGTAGGTTGCCCAACCTTCCTTCCAAGGAGTGGTTGGTGGGTTTGAACCACCAGCCTTCTGGTTAGCAGTCAGATGCCTTAGGCACTACACCACCAGAGCTCTTAGTGGTTCTCAAACCTTTATAACAATAAAACCTCTAAGGAAAGTTTAAGAGTGTTTTGCAGCTGTTCTTGTCCTTGGAACATACATCATTAGGGATTTACAGATGCTGTGTTCAGATGTCATTCAAGGTGATTCTTATGTATGTTGTACACCAACTTGATAACTCGATTAATTTGTTTCCATTTCTTTTCAATTTTAGGATTTGCTTTTTTTAAATCTAGTTTTTCATTTGAATATGTAAAACGTTTTCATAGTTCCTATGTCAAAACTCTAGAAGGTACACTTGGAGAAGTCTTGTTTCCTCCACTGCCCCCTCCACACTCTGTACTGTTTATGACTTCTCCACTTCTTTCCTTCTTACTATATAACTTGTTGCTGCGGAGTCGATTCGGACTCACAGCGCCCCTAGAGGACAGAGTGGAACTGCCTCATAGGGTTTCCAAGGCTGCAGTGTTTATGACAGCAGGTTGCCACATCTTTCTCCCATGGAGCGGCTGGAGGGTTCCAACTGCTGACCTTTTGGCTGACAGCTGAGAGGTTAAACACTGCACCACCACAGGCTCCTGTGCTCACTGTGTTAGTTGTTGTTGTTAAGTGCCGTCGAGTCGTTTCCGACTCATAGCGACCCCATGCACAGCAGAATGAAACACTGCCCGAT